TAGTAGTGGAAGGACAAGGACAGGACGGTAAGGAAAATGCGAGGGAGGTGGGGAAGATGTAAAACGATGAAGCCGAGATAGATGAGGCACCAGAGGTTGACGAAAGATAGAAACGGGAAAGAAAGGGAGGCATGAAGGTAAGAGCTCGTTAAAACCAGATATGAGGAAACAAAAGGAGTATGAATAGCAAAACGGAAAGAAGTAAATGACAACAACCAGTAGAAGGAAAGAAAAGGAAACAAGGAATAGAGAAAGGAACGAAAAAATGCAGAAAATATGGAAGGACTGGACATAAGGGAAAAGAAGGAATAGAAACTGAGCAATTCGAAACAGCAAAATCGGGAAAGAAAAGCAGAGGAGATTTGAAGGAGGAAAATGAGAAGAAATAAGAAAATAACAATCAGGAAGGAAGAAAGCACGAAAAGTTAAACGAAGGAACGTGGAAGGAGAAAGGACAGGAGACTAAACGAAAGAAGAGGGGGGAAGCAAGGCATAGGAACGGAGCAATAAAGATAGGAAGGACAAATAGAACGGGAAAATGTCTTTCTTACTACGAGAATTTGCTCGCCGTTGGCTAGGATGAATCGACCTTAAGAACACGAAGTACCAAATGAGCACCAACATCAGAAAGGAAGGAGCGGTAAATGTAAGAGCATGAATAGAGCACGAAAGGTACGTAAACTGAGAATGGAATAACCCATTCTTACATTGAGGAAAAGAGATTGGGAAAGAAATCCAGGCCTATAACACCCTAGAGAAGAAAACAGAAGCATTCCACGTAGCTCCTAGATAAAAAACGACAAGGGGTTTGCCAGCCAAACGACAGCGAGAAGTGAAAAGGAAACATCGCGCCTCCCAGCTCATCGTGTCGGACCCTGCTAGCCGCGTCGGACCCAGCTCGCCGCGTCGGTCCCAACGGACCCAGCTCGTCGCGTCGGTCCCAGCTCGCAGCGTCGGTCCCAACTCGCCATGCCAGCCGGCTCCGCCCCCTCGCAACTCAAGGATGCCTAGCGCCTTCCTTTCCTACATTCACCTCTGCTGCATGCTGTTGGTGACCTCGTGCCGTCCTCCCCCTTGTCGTCTCGGGTTGAGCCATGCCGCCGTTGCCTCGGGTGCCGCAACCGCCGTCGCCAGGTGCCTCGACGCTGCCGCCGCCGCCGCCGCCGTAGGTGCTGCACGCCCTGCCGCCGCCGCCGCCGCCGCAGTCGCCGATGCCGCTGCCGCCGCTGTGACCCACCGTCGACGTCGCCACCTCGGTCGCCGAGGGGTCGACCGGCTGGTCGACGCCACTGCTGCTGCAGGGAATGGGGGTGCAAGGATGTGGGGGTGCTGGGGGTGGGATGGGCTTGCCACTACCAAGCCTAGGGGGTGTGTTAAATTATATATTTTTATATATAATTGTAGGCTTGGTTATGCTACTTACTGAATCCTACTGTAGAGGGGACTACCCCCCTTCTTGTATCTCCTTCTCTTCTAGTCTAACCCCTTTCTCTCTCAACACTGTGCCTAGCCTAAAACCCCACGCCACTTCAATGGCTCCTCCTACTCCTAGCTATCATTCTTTCTAGCCTTAACAGATGATCCATGATAAGATGGGACTAATCGACTTATGGCATCTTTTGCCACACCTCAGCATGCCTAGTATCATAGCTAACATTCAATAAAAAATCGTGCACAATACTCTTGCATACACGCAAATATTTCGCGATTTTCCTTGTGCTCACCCCCTTATGCAAAAGTGTGGGTCTAGGAAGAGTACAAGAAGATCCTTGTAAAGTTTTGCACTAGCCTCGTAGATAACATGCCTAGGAGGGTGCTGGTGGTGATCAAGGCCAAGTGTCAGTGGACTAGGTACTAGAAACGCTTCTCGGAAGCTTGCCCTTTGTCCTAGGAAACAATTGTCCGGATGTACTCTTTGTATGTCTTTTGGCACTAAGTTAGATCCAGTGTATTACTATGGATTTTAGCATTGTGAACACATCCACTATGTGCCCCTCCCAAAGCGTACCACCATTAATCATTAAAACTTTATGTACAGTGGTCGAAAAGCCCAAAAACCCGAATTAATGCAAAACATCCGGACAATTGTTTCCGTTACTGTACATGACATGACATGAACAAAAAGACTACCCATAAAATAACAGTCGAGCAGAAACAAATAAGAGAAATCTCGTTTTACACGACTACTCTTGCTCCCTCCACTCCCCATTATCCATCAAAAACCTCTCTAGTGCGTCAATGGTGTATATTCCAGCACCTGGGGCAATCCCCGCTTCGTGATGAGAATCTCCTGCATACACTGACCCTCCTGCATCGGTAGCCTCTCCCCCAACTTCCAGACCTACAGCTGTCGCTCCCAAATGCTCCATAACAGCAGCAGAATTACTATCATACATGTAATAGGCCGTACTCTTGATGTGAGAGTGTGAGGAGGTAAGCGTGGGACCCCCATCAGCAAATGCAGCGTGTTCTAGGGGAAGTGGGGAGCTGGGACCCCCGACAGCAAATGCAGCGTGCGGCGGCTTTTCCAGGGAAAGCGGGGAGCTGGGACCTCGAGCAGAGTATGCAGCCTGCGCCATAGCATCCCTGGAAATCAGGGAGCTGGGATGCTCGGCAGCAGAGGCAGCGTGCGGCACAGCTTCCGGGGAATTCCGAGGCTCGCCAGCAGAGGCAGTGTAATGCACATTCTCCAGAAGGACCACGTCCACTGAGGGTTCAGGCAGAGGAGTGCTGAGTTCTGCCATGATATGCTGATACCCACTAATATGGTGTTCCATGATAGGCCGGTATTCAGTAAGCTGGTACGCAAAAGGCTGGTTAGTGCGAGGCTGGTCAGCAGCAGCAGCAGCATCGCCACTGTATGCAGCCTCCAACTCCTCTGCTGCAAATTCCTGCATGAACACATCCCCGCCGCTACTGGCCACACTGCCCTGCTCTGTGTCATCAAACTCCCCAGCTGGGGGGGGCATCGCCACCAATTGTTCGCTGACACACTGCTCTGTGTTGCTGTGCTGCAGGCTGACAGTATTGTCGAAGATGGTAGGTGGAGAAGCAGGAGCGGGAAGGAATGGGTGGGAGTGGAAGGCAGAGGCACTGTGGGCGACAGCAGGGTTCAAGAGAGGAGAGGTCAAGGGGGGACAGGACAAGGGGGGAGAGGTCAAGGGGGGAGAGGGAGATGTTAATGGGGGAGAGGTCAAGGGGGGAGAGGGAGATGTTAATGGGGGAGAGGTAAAGAGGGGAGAGGTCAGAGTGGGAACGGAGTGGCTGCGAGAGGAGAGAGGGCGCTGGAAAGGTTTGAGCAGCTCTTGCTGCTGCTGCTGCACCAACTGCTGTTGCTGCATTAGCTGCTGCTGCTGGGACTGTGCCTCCACCAACTGCTGCTGCTGCTGCTGCTGCTGCTGCTGCTGCACCATCAGCCGCTCCTCCAACAACGGCCTCTGCTGTCCCTCCAACAGTCTCTGCTGCAGCGGATGCTCCATCAGCCCCTGCCCGTACTTGCTCACAGGGCCCCGCACCTGCTCCTCCCACCGCCTCAGTAGCCCCTGACCGTACCTGCTAGCAGGTCTTGGCTGGAATGCTGCCATGTGCAGCATTGCCCTGTCCAGCTGTCCTGCTCCCACTGGCCCCTGGTCCCGCGACCGCGTTCGTGTCACCCTGTGCAGGGGGAGGTTCGGGCAGGCTCTGAGAGAACGGGCAAGGGGATAGGCAGGTCCGGCAGGTCCGGCCGGCTCGGCCAGTCCGGCAGCACTGGCAATACTGGCAGCACCGCCAGCACCACGAACACTGGCAGCAGCTGCAGCAGCAGGTATCCCTTCAACCGCCGTGCTGCCATCCCCAGCCTCTCCACTACCCACACATGCAGCAGAATGACCTGCAGCAGAACCACCATCCATAGCACCCACATCACCCACACCACCAGCATTACCAGCACCACCCAGAGCACCCACACCACCAGCATTACCAGCACTACCCAGAGCACCCGCAGCACCTGTGTCACCTTTGGAGGGTTGGGACTCTGGGGTTGGATTTCTAGGGACAGGCGACTCCAGGGGGCAAGATATGGTGTGGCTCCGACCCCACATAGGCACAGGCTCGGCATGAGGCTCTGACGCTGGGGTATGCCTTCCCAGGTAGGGCTCCTTCCAATCCTTCACGGGGGACATGCCATTTGTGAAGTCTGCAGAAGAGCAACGAGCAGCAGCAGCCTTGCTCTTCCTACCAGCCCTATGGTCAACATAGTTACGTTGAGGGGAGCTTCGCACATGGCGCTGCTGCTGTGGACGCGGCTGTGTTTGCGACTGCGACTGCTGCTGCTGCTGCTGCTGCTCTTGCGGCTGCTCTTGCTGCTGCGGCTGCTGCGGCTGCTGCTGCTGCTTGTTCTGGTACTGCTGAAGCTGATGCAGATTCACGACTAGAGACGAGCTCCTTGACATGGTAAGGGCATACCGCATGCCGTCATCAGGCCAGTTGGTATCATGCTGCTTAAGACGTGCCCCAAAAGGCGGCATTATGGTAGAAGCATTCTGCATGCTGTAATCATGCTGGTCCGCATCATGCTGCTCAATATGTGCCCCAAAAGGCAGCACCATGCCAGCGGCATATCGCATACCAGCATGCCAAGACGAGGGGACTACCACTGTCGCCTCGTCTGCGCCCGGCAAGGAGGCACCTTCACCACTCATAAGCACTCTCCCAGTCACCTCCACTCTGCATAAACTCGCGTGTGCTTGGCTTGGCGGTGCGTGTGGCTCTGCGTGTGTCTGGACTGGCCCTGCCGATGCTTCCTGTCCCAGCAACGCATGTTGTCCTGACGATGCTTGTCGGACGCCTAGGCTCGGGGTCTGCTCCATGCATAAAAGCCCTGATGCTGCTGTCCCGACTGTCCGTGTTGCAGTCCCTGCTGCCCCTGCTAAACCTACTGCCCCTGCTGCCTGTGCTTCCCCTGCTGCCTTTGCTGCCCCTGCTGCCCCTGCTGGCCCTGCTGCCGCTGCTGCTCCTGCTGCCTCTGCTGCTCCTGCTGGAGCCAAACCCATCACAACACCTGCCTCCCGGCCCCATTGACCACGTTGACTGCATTGACCCTGGGAGGAGGGGGCAACTGGCACAGCAGCATTGGATGCATGAAGAGGGGTGGTTGGCTGACTAGGCTCCCGGGATCTTGGCATCGTGACCTTGCCAGTTCCACTACCAGCGAACATCACAGGAAATCCTGTCTTTTCCCCTTCTCCTGTCTGTATCTGGCTCGGCACACCTTGGTTTGGAGGGCTGCTTCGGTGAGGTGTGGCTGTGGAGAGAGGTCCGGCAGCTGTGACTTGCCAGGATTGAAGGGGTTGGGTAGGATTCGAAGGTGAAAGAGTTGGGTCTTGTTGCTGCAGCTGGCTCTGTGGCAGTACCCCAGGTCGCTGCTGCTGCTGCTGCTGCTGCTGCTGCTGCTGCTTCTGCTGTCGATGTTTCTGGGAGTGGTAGTGGGGCGTTCGATAATACCCATCAGTTTCCCCCAATCCCAATGCCGCAGCCACAAAACTATCATCAGAAACAAGGCCAGCACCAGCCATGTCTTCGCCTATCCCTGTCCCCATCACCATCTCCATCCCACCCTCCTCCTCCATCATCCTTGTTCCACCCACACTCTCCCGGCCAACCCCACTCCCTCCAATCCCATTGGCTTCATCCAACATCCCCAGCTGCTGGAAAAAATCCTCTGCAAGGAGAGAGGACCGCAGCTCCGCTGCTGTCACCCTAACTCCACCTGTTTCCAAGCCTGCGGCCACCCTAATTCTACCTGCTTCCAAGCCTGCCGGTCTCGCTCCAGGCCCATAAAATCTCAGAAACCTCACATCAGTTCCAAGAGCACATGCTGGTTGTTCCACCTGATTCGACCGCTTTTGCATGGCAGTGCTAGACGTTGGTGGGTCGGCCAGGGTCGAGGAGATGCGAGGGAGAACAGGGGGATGTATGCTGGTGTGTGGAGCTGCTTCAGGGGCGGAAAACGCTGGGAAGGTAAACGGCACAGCCGTGGGAGAGGCAGAGGCAGAGGCAGAAGAGGCAGAGGAAGCAGAGGTGGAAGGGACAGAGGGGGGATGGGCAGGGGGGAAAGGGGCAGAGGGGGAATGGGCAGCGGGGAAATGGGCAGCGGAGGAAGGGGCAGCGGGGGAAGGGGTGGAGGTGGAAGGGGCAGCGGGGGAAGGGGTGGAAGTAGAAGGGGCGGATATGGGAGGAGCAGGTCTGCTGGAGCTGCTGCCACTGACAGTGCTCGATTCCGGGGTGCATGCTGCTCCGTCCCTGCTCCCACCAGCACTGGCCTCTGATGCACCCGCTGCTAACCCTCCTCTTCCTCCCCCTCCCCCTCGCACTGCGGCAGACCTTGCACCTGATCCTTCTGCTGCTGCTGCTGCTGCTGCTGCTGCTGCTGCTGCGGTTGCTGCAGCAGCTGCTGCGGTTACCGCCCCGCTTGTCCCCTCTCCTAATGGCTTTCTCTGACGCGCAGCCTCTCCCATCAAGTCCCTTTCTGCCACATCCTCAGCATACTCTGCCTCCTTTCCTTTCCCTAGACAGCTCCTACTAGCACAGCCCTCTTTTACCTCTCCTACCCCATTCCCCTGCACTCCCCGGCCAATGCCCCAAGTCCCGCCAACCTTCCCTGCATCCTCCCCTGCAGCTGCTGCATCCTCCCCCCCTGCTGTTGCATCCTCCTCTGCACTTCCCTGCATTTCCATTCGGCCGCCTGCTTCTGGCGCTGCAGGCTCCGAACCTACTCCTCCCTCGCCCTGAGCAAACTCCTCTGGAAAGTTAAGCTTGGCCTTTGCTCCTCGGATCTCCACAGCCGCTTGGTCGAATGCCAGAGCAGCCTCCTCTGCGGTGGGAAACGTCCCCAGCCACTTCCGGATCCCACCATTCGTGTCCTTGATCTCTGCAACATACCGGAACTCCCCTCGCTTCCTCACTCCGCGGTACTTCCCCAGATTGTAGTTCCGTCTGCGAGCCTTTTTCATGCGCCTGCTAGGCTCTGATGGGCTTGCACCGACTGCAGGCTCACCTTGTAGTGGTAGTTGTGGCAAGTTTGGCTGTAGCAGCGGCTGTAGCTGTGACGACAGCTGTTGTCTCCGGTCTTGTTGTAGCTGCATTGGCTGAGCCTGTTGCTGCATCTGTAGCTGCGGCTGTAGCTTCTGTTGCCACTGTGGCATGTGCTGCATCTGCAGCATCTGCTGATGTGGCATTTGATGTTGCATCTGCTGCAGTTGCAGCAGCTGATGCTGCATCTGCTGATGTGGCACCTGCTGCAACCTTTGCTGCGGCCGTGGCAGTATTTGCAGCTGCGACTGCGAGGCCGATGTGGTCCCCGTTCCCCCAGTCTGTCCCTGTGTGTGTGCGTCATGCTGCATCTCCCAGATAGCAAATAACTCCCTTGGATAGTAAATGATTGACTCTCAAGACGTTGGTGGTGCCGCCAACGCATCTGCAAAAAGTTGGATCATTTTGGAGACTGCTCCGAAAATGAGTAGTACTAGTAGTGGGAAGTCCTGGACTAAAGTGCAGTGGCACACTGCAAGATCACGGCCTCAGGCTGCTGCTACTAGGCGGCTCAAATAACCCCAAGCCTTGTTTCCCCACCTTGAAGTTGGAGACACGTTCACAGCATCAGCCGTCTGGCCTTTCAGCCGCTGGAGCCAGACGCTGGCGCCATGATATGCTGCTCCTCGCCCTGGGAACCAGCCTGAGGCTGACTCTCCCCGCGGACTCTCCTATTCTGCTACTATCCTATTCTACTCTTCAAGTTGAATCTCATTCGATGAACCTAGACGGATTTGGTCTGACAACGATGCACCCTGGGTTTTGCTACCAGCGGAGAGCTGCAGGAGACATTTTCTAGGATGAAGCCGAGGGGAAGGCTGTCTAATTCTAGTGCCACTGGTAACGCGCTCTCTGAGGCTTCGCGTGAAATTGTCGTTTCTGAGCTGCTACTAGCAGATGGTAGTAACAAAGTTGTTTCAAGCAGAAGCTGGAATGAAGGGAAGATGGCTGGGGCAAGAGCCGCAGAGAGGAGACTCTCCTGGCTGGATAGAGGTTTTCGAGGTTGGATTTTTGGGATGGAGGGGTTATCTGGTAAGGAACTGTAAGTTTGAAGTGCTTTCCTGCACTGAGCCTTCTAAGGACTGGCTGATCAAGTTTCCTGGGTTGAGTGTGAAGTGCTTTATCTGGCTGGCCTGGGAGAGTGGAGTGGATCACCGCACAGTGTGGTCCCTCGCCTCCCATTGGTTGAAACAAAATTATGCTGCAATCTCTCTTGTTTCTTTTGCAGTGTCGTCGACGCTTCAGGGTTTCGAAAACTTTCCCCCTGTTGTCGACGTTTCAGGGTTTCGAACAATTTCCCCGTCTCGTGTAGACGTTCAGGGTTTCAAATGCTGATCACAAAAGTCAGACAAATGGAGTGTACAGTCGAGACTTTGACAAAGCATGCATTCTTTTGCAGTTCATAAACTTCTCATTCCCCATGCTCACAGACGGGGCCTGTCACTTATAAGGGAACACTACGTTTGTATCCTCCTGGAAAAAACAAATGAAAGGACAACAAATCCGACATCATTTTGCCAACTTGGCGAGGCAAGCTTTCACGTGATCCGCAAGGAGCGTGTGCGTGCAACAAGTCAGTTCCTAGTTCCCACATAAACTCGAAATCGTGACAAAGACTACGGGCATGGCTCCGCCTGCCAAGTTTGCCCTGGTTTTCCCCCGTCAACTATTTCACTGGTACTGAGTCGGCCCCTGATTGCTCTTCTAACGGATTGGGGCTTGGGCATATCGCTGCGAGCCACCTGGGTCACAGCATTCCAACGTGGATAACCGTTCGAAAAGACCGACCATGTTTGAACTGAGAGGGAACGGACGACGACAACGGGTACAGGTGCAGCTGGGACGGGCAAAGCAGCTTGTTTCCGCATTTATGAGGCTCGGTTGCCAGAACAAATGCCCCCCACCTCCCAAACAAGCCCCCCAGCTAAAGCAGGTGTTCAACGGAACCACCTGTCCCGCGCGATTCTCTCGTTCCGCTGTAGCTTGTCGTGATTAAAGCTGTAGCTTGTCGATTGCGCAACTGAAATTTGTCGTAGGCGTTACAATAGCTCGTCGCTTGCGAACGTCTTGCGCGTCTCGAGAAGTTGCTGGGTGAGAAGATGGTGCGGGTATCAAAGGGTTTTTAGTTGTTCGGTTACTGTTACTAGCGATCCGCACACAGTTGTCTCGTATAGCGCACAGAAAGGAGGGTTTCGACGTTTATTTTAGCAGAGAGGGGAGGCTTAGCGTTCATCTCGGATAATTTGTCTCTCATTGAACCACGTTTCAGAATTTCATTGGTTTCGCACTGTACCATGGCATTTCGCTGTTCTCAGCAACTGTTCCTGAAAATCTCCGTCAACTACAGAACACGTCGCTGAACGAACCTGGAAACAGGATGAGCCTCGGTTCGGGTACTGTCACTTTCTTACGGTTAAATGAACAGCGATTTTTTTTTTCTAGACGGATAAATCTTGACGGATTCTGACAACAATACTAAATATGGGATCACGGATTAGTGCGACGGGATTGTTCACTTACATTTCATTTCGACATGATATAAAAATATTATTTGTAGAATAATATTTTGGGCTCATGATTTTTTTGGCCATGGAATTCCATAATATTCATCAATGATATAGATATTTGAATAATTTTGTCAATAATTGGCTGAATCTTTTCCACAGGAGTTCGCATATTAATGTTGGCTTTGACGCATAGTATGGCCCTTTTTGTAAAGAATGTTGTAATGCGAAGTCCTTTTGAAATATTCGGCCAGGTGTTGAATTTTTTCTTGAAATATCTATATTTTTATGAAGATCATGGAATTCCATATCAAAAAAACCATGCGCTAAAAATATAAATGTACCAAAAATATTATTACATAATATCTAAATGAAATGTAAGTGAATAATCCCGTCGCGCTAAGGGCGTGGAACATACAGTTCCGTTTTTCTGAAAGTTCGGACGACCAGAGTGGTAGAGTGAGTTTCAAAACGGTTTTGACTTAGTTAAATTAGATAACCGCGTGGTACAGTGTGGTGGAAGTTCGGACGAAGGCTGTTCGGGACCGTTTGTTCCACGCCCTAATCCACAATCCCATATTGAATATTATCGTCATGTTTTATCCGTCCGAAAAAAATCAGTTTGCTGTTAATTTTGCCGTCAGAAATTAACGGTACCCTAGGCTCATTATGTTTCCCAGGTTCTTTCAGCGACGTGCTCTGTAGTTGACGGAGATTTTCGGGAACAGTTGCTGAGAACAGCGAAATGCCGATGTACAGTGTGGAGCCAATGAAATTATGTGGAAGGAAATTCCCATTTTCCTTACTGGGCTCGACTACAGCGCGTACGCCCTCGACTCTCGGAAGTCCAAGCTCGGCCAACTTCTTCGGTCCCGAACCACTTCGCGAACCCAAACCTAGACGCGCGGCGTTTCCGTGGCTTTCACCAACCGGATCGCCCCAACATGTTCGCGTGGTTCTCGGCTAGCTCTGTTCGTGCCTATAAATGCCTAGGCCCTCATTTGTATCGAGACTCTTGAATCACGACTCCTTTATTATACTACATGTTATTACTCTGATTAATTCATTGCAGCTGGTATCAGAGCTCCGTTCCTGCCTGCCTTGTCTTCCGTAGAGTTGTCAGTTTATATCGGGAGAGGACCCGATATAATATAGGGTTGGCCTGGGGTTGGTAGGTGAGCTCCTCAAAGCTCCTCCAACTAAAAGCGTGTGCACCATCAGATATGTCAGGTAAAATTTCCAACATGTCTACCACGCCGGAAACCTCTGCCCGTCGTAGTGTTAGGAACGTGACTCTGGAGGAGTTTGACGAGTTGCAAGCCAGGGCGGCTACAGTGACGACATTGCATGCCCAGCTTCAACAACTAGCCGATAAGTTCGAGTCGCTGGGAAGCGAAGTGCAGACGCTGCGCAACAAAAACTCGTCGCTTCGTCAGACGCGGGTTGAAACGCGTTAGGGGCGGCATGTTACCTGAGACAAAGATGCTGCGAGCAAAGCGAGGGCGTCGACGACACCTGAAGTAGTTGAAGATGTCTACAGTGAACAGCGGGCGGCCATTAAAATCAAACTTCCGATGCCACCACCGTTCAACCCGACCGACATGACAACTATAGTGAGCGGGTGGCTGTTCGTCATGGAAATCTTCTTCATGGCAACAAGCATTAATGACAACGCATCACGTGTCGCTGCTGAGGGGACCGGCACTCGACTGGTGGCGCATGCATCTAGACGAGGGAGGAGCCCCGGCAAGGAATCAACGAGCGGTAGATGGGGAGCACAGTTCATCAACGACAAAGGCATAACTGATCGTTGGGTCGGCCACGATCTGCACGTTGAAAGCGTGGGGCGAAGCGTTAAGGACAGATTCGAGCACATATCCATGCGGGAAAATGCTCGCACAAAGCTTCGTATGTTGAGACAGTTGGGCTCTGTCCAAGAATACACGGCGTCGTTTCTGGCAATCTGCGACCAAATCAGAGGGCTTAGCGAAAACAAGCGTATCGATCGCTACGTGGGTGGTCTCAAACCGGAGATTCAGCAAGAGATCGTCCTGCGAGCCCCGGCGACATTCAATAAAAT